CTCTTCTCCGTCTACTGCAGGATCCAGGACCGCTCCCAGGAGCTGGTGCAGATCGTCCGGAGCGCGGACCGCCGGGCCAGGAGCCGCGGTGCCAAAGTGGGCAGCCTGGCCGACAGGGAGTCCATCCTGCAGCGTCTGGACCACCTGGAGGAAGTGGTCTACAACCAGCTAAATGGTACGGAGGGCTGGGAGGGGATGCAGCGCCAGTCCCGGGGTGCCCTGTGTCCTAGGAGGCTGCTGCAGATTGGGGAAGAGCTCCAAAGTGAGGAGGGAAGCCCGGGCACCATACGCACTCACCCCACTGCTGAAGGGCTGAAAATGAAGTGGCTGCAGGGGTTTGCCAGAGGGGGCTGTTGAGGTTTTTTCCCCCCCTCCCCCGACTCTCGTTCCAAAGTGTACCTATTGACTTCCTCAATAGGTACAAAGTTAAGGAGGCTGCAGAGTTCACGGGTTTAAGGGTTGGTGGAAGTTCTTACCAACTGTACCAGGTTTTACAGTTTGCCTGGATATATTAACTCTGCATGGTGTTTGTATAGCAAGTACACTGTTAGGTTATAGCTGGAAGTCATTTACTTGGTCTCAGAACTACTTTAAAAACATTCTGCTGAGTTCTTATGCTGTGTACTTTTAATGGTCTATTTAAACATAGCACCCATATGTTTCCTTAATGACTGCCATTTGAATTTGATATTATCTTTGGTGAGGAGGGGAAGCATTTACCACTTCTTTTTATTATGACATCCTGTTCTAATTCACCAGCCTTGAAAAATCTTGGTAGGTAAGCAAAGAACCCAGTTAGAATGGGCTAAGCCATAAAAGTTGCTGTAGGACGACTAACCTTTCATATAGAAACTAATTCTTTAAAACAAGTGTGTTTGTATTTGCATAGATTTGTAAAGGTTTAAATGTGGAACATCAAAGAAATATTATGTGATTAAATACATCAGTGGATTGGACATGAAGAGGTTGAGGGAGTGAACTTTTATGTGAAATTATAATGTAAATGTAACATTTAGTGTCTAGCACCAAATAAAACTTGCAGTGTAAATATGTTTCAGTATTCCAAATGGGCTTGTAGGCTGCTTGGGAAAATCTTACTCGTAACATTGATTTAACAAAGGCTACTGTAGTCTCAAAATGCAGACAAATGGGAGGGTTAGGATAAAGTGTATTTCCTATTACTACTTTCTGAATGAATGTATAAATCTAAGTAGGTTCGACTGTTATGGTAATACGCAGTCTGCCAGCGAGTATTACAGAACAGGCATCCCCTTACGCACTCATCTATATAAACAGGGAAGAGAGAAGGGGAATGTGGAGTGTGGGTGTCAGTCATAAAAATACAGCCATGAATTAGAGGGAAAGTGTCAACAGCTGTGTTTCCTAACCGTATTTTGGAGCAGTTGTGAAGAATGTAGGATTTAAGAAGCAAATCCTACTCCTAAATTCCACAAAGTCATGGAGTTCCCAAAGTAAATTAGATCAGTTCCCGAGCTATAAAAATCGTGGCTCAGCTATGAATTGATTGGATCTTGATGGTGTTCATAGGTGAGGCTTGGTTAGGATTTACCTGTTCTGGGTTTGTCTCAACGTAGCATCTCCCAGAGAATCATCACAAGCCCATTGCACGTAACGATTGTGGCTTCACAGTGAACAGGATGTTCTCTGTAAAGTATACCTCTGTTTTGGGGACTTTTTTCTTCTTCTTTAGTTTGGTTTGTTGGATACAGAACTGCACAGTCAAATTACTTGAACTTAAATGTTATGTTGCTGCTTCAGGTCATAATAAACACTGCAGGCAGTTTCTTCTTGAAAGTTCTGACACGGGAAAATAGAGAAAGTTTTTCAAGCTGAGCTGTTCAGATTTCCTATTCATTTCCCCTCAATTTCTCTCTGACACAGTTGGGGTTTTTTATTTCACAGTGGTACGTTCACACAGATGAATTATTTCATCAGTGTGAAATGATACTTGTCACTGTCTTTATTTTCTTCCTTCATCTTGTGGCAATAAAACTGAAAAGTCAAGAAGACTTAGAAAGTGCCCCACTGAAATGATCAGAGTTGCATCACTGCAAGTGAAATCAGGATCAAGCATCTGTGTTTGGGTTTAGCTCACTGGTATTCCGTTTCTAATATCATGACTCATTACTTATGCCATTAATGGGCATACTGATGCTCTGGCAGCATTGAGATTCCAGGGAGCCTTTCTGTGACGATGCTCTACCGTGTCTCACAGAAAGACTGGTAGTACAGAAACACTCTGTCTGCTCTGGGGCTGTGCAGCAGCATTCGCATGTTGAGCAAGGTTTCTCAGACATTATCCTGAATACTGGTTTACCACAACGTTAGAGAGCCCTCTGAGGCCTTTTTGGATGCTGCCTTTTCATGGAGTGGGTCAAAGTCACTTTTATATGGACAGACAGACATGGGTAGGTAGATTTAATTCATAAGGAATATGAACTCCTTGCATACGCAGAACTCCTGCAAGTTTGAGTCCAGCTCAGTGTTGTGGTTACAATAGGTCTGTCCAGATCAGGATTTCAATTTTCTTCTCTTGCTTCTTTCTATTTTGAGATCAGTGAAGTTAGACTCACCTATTTAAGTAACTTATATCTTTGGTAATAAAGTCTCAGTGTTCTTTTATTCCATTTTTCTCTTCTATTTGTGTTAGTCCTAAACTGGTAAGACCTTAACTGGATTTCCTATAGACTCTGTTGAAGATCTAAGGCAATAGAAATCACATTTCTGTGAGAGACCAGCCCTACAGCTATAAAGAATTTTGTTTCCATCACACTCACTTGTTTGCATGAAATCACAGAAATGTTATTTGAAAGTGTACTTTCTGCCAGGAAAAATAAAACACAAGCAGTAATGATACAAGTGCATCAAGAGGCAACCCAAACTTGATCACTGGAGAACTCATTAACTTCTCAGGCTGAATAAAAACTGTGCACACGATGCCTGTGGAGGTGCAAGCAGGACGCAGAGGACCACGTGTGAAAGTCAGTAGGAAGTTGGTCCTTGCGATTATCTTTGGCAGTACAAGAACTTTTTAGAATAGAATGAATGAGAATTGCCATGATTCCCTGCAGAGCAGTGCAGACGTACACCCAAACAATAGTTTTCAGTTGGCTCATGCTTTGGTTTTCTATCAACTTAGAAAAATAGTGTTTCTGAAAGCTTTCTGTTCGCTCAGCTGCTGCGGGTTGGGGTGGAAGTAAACGAATGCAGTGTGTAAAGGGAAGGGAAAGCAATGAAACATGTCAATGGAATTTCCTTGGTGAAACTTTCTATTATCTCTTAATATCTGACTTTGAGCGTAACATTTGAAAAACTGAGTTATTTTGGATCTAGTTCATCAATCTCTATTTTTATCTTCTTACTATGGCATTTCTATTGATGAGTATGATTTATTGTCAGTCAGCACAGAACTAGTGCCAGACAGACCTAGTAGCAATTCATGAAATGGCATAATGGTAACACCTTGGTGTTTTCTTCCTTTGCCTCTGTTTCTTTGTGAAGGGGAACAAACAAAAAAGATATAATTGGCTGAATTTTTCCTCTAATCAATTTTGCATCTGAGTCTGTTGCTAATGATTTACCACAGAGGATAAAGAATTTTTGATACCCCAAGTAGAGCATAACCTTTCATGCCAAAAGCAATTGAAGGGTCAGACTACAGTTTCACTGCAATTGCCTTTTTCCCTTTTCACTGTCTCTTTCCAGTAATACAGAACAATCAATACAGCAGGTAATTAGATTTCATTCAATCTGCAAAGATTAAGAGAATTTTCCTCTTCTCATTGTGTATGCTCACATTGTGTCTTCCTACCCATGTTTTCTACATTAGACCTCTTTGACCTGCTCTACTGCAGATGTGGAGGGGTAAGTTTGGAGTATTTCCTTGAATTTGACAGATTATCTTTCTTTACACATCATAATTTGATTTTGCTCTCTTTGGGAAGATTAAACACAATAGCAATTTCCAGTATGATAAATGGGGTTTATATTGCATATGCATTTCATGGAGGAGGCTGGAAAAAAAAGTGGACAATAAACATAATTCACATAATTCACTGGCTTAAAATGCTAGAAATAGCAGGTCCTACGTGCACAGGACCGATTCATGCAGACGGTGACTCCTGATTTTTAGAGCATACTGGAAGCAAAGTGATTGCATTTAAAATTCAGCCTGGCAATCTGCATACTTAAAGGCTACAGTAGTATTTTTAAAAGGACGGTTTATTCTTCATAGTCTTGGGACCAGTTGAGAATAGTTCCAAATTTCCGTATCAAAAATCAGGGTTGGGAACAGGCTGCAAACAAATCCTGAGAATGTCCACATGACATTTGTCAGAAAGATGCTTTTACAGCTGGCAACTTCCAGCTTAGAAGTTCTCTGCTAAGTTCCTTAGCAGAGAAGAGACATAAACCACATGTGCATGGGGGAAGAGTCAGGGTGACTACCAGCCATGCGCTACTGGAATTGCACCGTCTCATACCCACACGCAGATTCTCACATTAGAACTATTACTGTTTAATTTGTTCATGGTCTGATGCTAATACACATCTGACAACATTAGACAACACAGAATTATCTCCAAAAGTATCAGCTTAACGTGTGGGGACCTTTCTCAGCCATGTGCTTTTCTTGTCATAGAATCATACAATGGTTTGGCTTGGAAAGGACCTTAAGATCATCTAGTTCCAACCCCCTGCGATGGGCAGGGGTGCCTCACCCTAGACCATGTCACCCAAGGCTATGTCCAGCCTGGCCTTGAACACTGCCAGGGTTGGAGCATTTACTACTACTTTGGGCAACCTGCTCCAGTGCCTCACCAGTTTCTCTGTTTACCACACAGTATGAAACAAGTATTTTTGGTTGTTCTGGGCCAGTTACTCAAGCTTAGGTAAGTAACCATTGTCACAGGCCTGACCTGAAGGTGCTGCAAAGCGATGGGCAAGTCCAAAAGACTGATTGCCACTACGCATTTGCTGTGTTAGACTTGGTTTATGTAGCTGAGAAAACTCATCATTAGTGCTTTCATGAAGGCCAAGATTTTATTCCCCCAAAATAAGAGCAGAAAACATCATGAGTCAATATTTGGATAGCCCCTATAAAAATATAAGGTAATATTTGAAATAGTATTACTCTGTTTAGACACTTTAGGGAGA